TAAAAGGGGAAATCGACAGTAACACAATCATAGTAGGGGACTTTAACACCCCACTTTCACCAATGGACAATATCCAAAATGAAAAAAATAAGGAAACACAAGCTTTAAATGATACATTAAACAAGATGGACTTAATTGATATTTATAGGACATTCCATCCCAAAACAACAGAATACACATTCTGCTCAAGTGCTCATGGAACATTATCCAAGATAGATCATATCCTGGGTCACAAATCAAGCCCTGGTAAATTTAAGAAAATTGAAATCGTATCAAGTATCTTTTCCAACCACAACGCTATGAGACTAGATACCAACTACAGGAAAAATTCTGTAAGAAATACAAACACATGGAGGCTAAACAACACACTACTTAATAACCAAGAGATCACTGAAGAAATCAAAGAGGAAATAAAAAAATACCTAGAAACAAATGACAATGAAAACACGACAACCCAAAACCTATGGGATGCAGCTAAAGCAGTTCTAAGAGGGAAGTTTATAGCAATACAATCCTACCTTAAGAAACAAGAAAGATCTCAAATAAACAACCTAAACTTACACCTAAAGCAATTAGAGAAAGAAGAACAAAAAAACCCCCAAAGTTAGCAGAAGGAAAGAAATCATAAAGATGAGATCAGAAATAAATGAAAAAGAAATGAAGAAAACGATAGCAAAGATCAACAGAACTAAAATCTGGTTAAGAAGATAAACAAAATTGATAAACCATTAGCTAGACTCATCAAGAAAAAAAGGGAGAAGACTCAAATCAATAGAATTAGAAATGAAAAAGGAGAAGTAACAACGGACACTGAAGAAATACAAAGGATCATGAGAGATTACTACAAGCAACTGTATGCCAATAAAATGGACAACCTGGAAGAAATGGACAAATTCTTCGAAAAGCACAACCTTCCGAGACTGAGCCCGGAAGAAATAAAAAATATGAACAGACCAATCACAAGCACTGAAATTGAAACTGTGATTAAACATCTTCCAACAAACTAAAGCCAAGGACCAGATGGCTTCATAGGTGAATTCTATCAAATATTTAGAGAAGAGCTAACACCTGTCCTTCTCAAACTCTTCCAAAATATAGCAGAGGGAGGAACACTCCCAAACTCATTCTACGAGGCCACCATCACTCTGATACCAAAAACAGACAAGGATGTCACAAAGAAAGAAAACTACAGGCCAATATCACTGATGAACACAGATGCAAAAATCCTCAACAAAATACTAGCAAACAGAATCCAACAGCACATGAAAAGGATCATACACCATGATCAAGTGGGGTTTATTCCAGGAATGCAAGGATTCTTCAATATACGCAAATCAATCAACGTGATACACCAAATCAACAAACTGAAGGAGAAAAACCATATGATCATCTCAATAGATGCAGAGAAAGCTTTTGACAAAATTCAACACTGATTTATGATAAAAATCCTGCAGAAAGTAGGCATAGAGAGAACTTTCCTCAACATAATAAAGGCCATATATGACAAACCCACAGCCAACATCGTGCTCAATGGTGAAAAACTGAAACCATTTCCACTAAGATCAGGAACAAGACAACACTGCCCAGTAGTGCTCTCACCACTATTATTAACATAGTTTTGGAAGTTTTAGCCACAGCAATCAGAGAAGAAAAAGAAATAAATGGAATTCAAATCAGAAAAGAAGAAGTAAAGCTGTCACTGTTTGCAGATGACATGATACTATACATAGAGAATCCTAAAGATGCTACCAGAAAACTACTAGAGCTAATCAATGAATTTGGTAAAGTAGCAGGATACAAAATTAATGCACAAAAATCTCTTGCATTCCTATACACTAATAGTGAAAAATCTGAAAGTGAAATTAAGAAAACTCTCCCATTTACCATTGCAACAAAAAGAATAAAATATCTAGCAATAAACCTACCTAAGGAGACAAGACCTGTATGCAAAAAATTATAAGACACTGATGAAAGAAATTAAATATGATACAAATAGATGGAGAGATATACCATGTTCTTGGATTGGAAGAATCAACATTGTGAAAATGACTCTACTACCCAAAGCAATCTACAGATTCAATGCAATCCCTGTCAAACTACCACTGACATTTTTCACTGAACTAGAACAAAAATTTCACAATTTGTATGGAAACACAAAAGACCCTGAATAGCCAAAGCAACCTTGAGAATGAAAAACAGAGCTGAAGGAATCAGGCTCCCTGACTTCAGACTATACTACAAAGCTACAGTAATCAAAACAGTATGGTACTGGGCACAAAAACAGAAAGATAGATCAATGGAATAGGATAGAAAGCCCAGAGATAAACCCAAAGGCCAGATACCATCAAACTCTTAGAGGAAAACATAGGCAGAACACTCTATGACATAAATCTCAGCAAGATCCGTTTTGACCCACCTCCTAGAGAAATGGAAATAAGAACAAAAATAAACAAATGGGACCTAATGAAACTTAAAAGCTTCTGCACAGCAAAGGAAACCATAAACAAGACGAAAAGAAAACCCTCAGAATGGGAGAAAATATTTGCAAATGAAGCAACTGACAAAGGATTAATCTCCAAAATTTACAAGTAGCTCATGCAGCTTAACATTAAAAAAACAAACAACCCAATCCAAAACTGGGCAGAAGACCTAAATAGACATTTCTCCAAAGCAGATATACAGATTGCCAACTGGTACATGAAAGAATGCTCAACATCACTAATCATTAGAGAAATGCAAATCAAAACTACAATGAAGTATCATCTCACACCAGTCAGAATGGCCATCATCAGAAAATCTAGAAACAAATGCTGGAGAGGGTGTGGAGAAAAGGGAACCCTCTTGAACTGCTGGTGGGAATGTAAATTGATACAGCCACTATGGAGAACAGTATGGACGTTCCTTAAAAAACTAAAAATAGAACTACCATACGACCCAGCAATCCCACTACTGGGCATATACGCTGAGAAAACCATAATTCAAAAAGAGTCATGTAGATGAGGATGATTATAATTTTTGTGACTTTCTGTTTGAATAAAAAAAATTAAAATCCCACAAGGACTCAGAGGCAAAAAATATACAAATCAATTTTCACTGCAAAGTAAAGGAGCTGTCACAGTGGAGGATTACTGGACTGAATGTCAATATTATGATGTAGTATGAGTGTGTTTTGTATTTGGTAATTGCAATCGTTGTTGCTTTTGTTGTAGTCATCCATTTACAATGCTTGGTGCCAGTTTATCTCTTGTAAAAATAAAATACAGTGTGTGTGTGTGAGTTGTGAGCAAAAAAAAAAAAGAAAGCAGATCCACATGAAAATGAAGTCTAAATGATGACCAAATGGTTTGTTTAAGGTATTGGCCAATTGTGCATTATTTTGTTACTCTTTGTGTGTATTAAAGTATTTGTGTCAAATTAAAAAAAGGAAAAAAACCCAAAAACCTAATAGTGATACTACTATACTATATACTATATAAATACATGTTTTATATATTAAATATAATATATATTTAATATAAGTACAAATATGATAAAAATATATAATACATCTTTTATAGAAAAAAAAAAGAGTCATGTATCAAAATGTTCGTTGCAGCTCCATTTACAATAGCTAGGACATGGAAGCAACCGAAGTATCCATCAACAGATGAATGGATAAAGAAGATGTGGCACATATATACAATGGAATATTACTCAGGCATAAAAAGGAATGAAACTGAGTTATTTGTAGTGAGGTGGATGGACCTAGAGACTGTCATACAGAGTGAAGTAAGTCAGAAAGAGGAAAACAAATACCGTATGCTAACACATATATATGGAATCTTAAAAAAAAAATGGTCATGAAGAACCTAGGCTAAGATGGGAATAAAGATGCAGACCTACTAGAGAATGGACTTGAGGATACGGGGAGGGGGAAGGGTAAGCTGGGACAAAGTGAGAGCGTGGCATGGACATATATACACTGCCAAACGTAAAACAGATAACTAGTAGGAAGCAGCTGCATAGCACAGCGAGATCAGCTCGGTGCTTTGTGACCACCTAGAGAGGTGGGATAGGGAGGGTGGGAGGGAGGGAGATGCAAGAGGGAAGAGACATGCGGACATATGTATATGTATAACTGATTCACTTTCTTATAAAGCAGAAACTAACACATCATTGTAAAGCAATTATATTCCAATAACAATGTAAAAAACAAAAAAAGACAGACATGAAAACAGAGTAAGTGATGCTTTGGCTTGACAGAGATGAGTTAACAGTTATTTTGGGATGTGATCATACGGGCCCCTCCTTTTGTCCAAAAAATGATTCAAAGGTATCACAATCATCACTACAATGAGGCGATAGGAGCGTGGAGAGGAAAGAAGAAAAATGTGAGAGACATTTAAGAAACACAGGGGTCTAATGTTTAGAAAACACACCTGAACAGCTAAGTCAGTGAGCACTGTCACAGGACACCTAGTGACCCAAATTTCTCTGAAAAGATTGCATGTCTTGATAGTGAAATCTCTGATGCAGGATGTACTAGGTCAGGTTTTTGTTTTGTTTTTCATTACACAAGTTTCCATCACTTCAAGATTACAGAATAAATACAAACTACTCGAATCCTCATCTTCAGTCTAAAGATGCAAGTGACTCGAATCACGCTAAGGGCCTTTCAGGTAACTGAAAATAATAACTTCTAAATATCCAGTGACAAATTCCTGGCCACACCGAAGAGTACAAACTCAACTATTTTAAGTAGGCCCAGGCCCCCGACTAAAGGGGAAAGGAGGACACAGGGTGGCCTTAGCCATCTGTTAAATTAATAATCCTTGAATTTGTGACACATAACAATGGAAGATATCATGTGTCCTAGTGTTAAGGATATTTTAAGGGGAGATTCTTGGCTACGGTGAATTTTAAGCACCTTAGTTGATTTGAGAAAACATTTGTCGAGCGGTGAGCCCTTCCATAGAGAATGCCTATGTATTTAAAGCATATCAAATGTCATTTTTACTTACCCTACTGTCTCTATATATATCAAATACAACTGCAAAGGAGAAAAAAACCTGAAGTTAGTAACGAACTTCTATTTTCATGATCTACACCTCCTTTTGAAAATTAAAATGCATTTTATTATTAGTTACTCAAAGGACTTCCTGCTTCTACATCTCAAAACTTCAAACATAAAAAGGCATCCTGCAATGTTTTACTTATATAATTTTGTTTTCCTTTTCTCTATCCTCAGCCGTAATCCCTTACGTTTAAAAATTCAAACCAAACACCAACATCATCTCAACCAGTTCACAATTAGAGACAGGTTATCTATATCAGAGAAAGGAGCATCAATCACTAACTGCTTGATGGGGAATAAAATGGGTAAAATCTGCAATAGAAAAGCACACTATCTAGCCATGCTTAGGGCATGATTCATCTTTTTTAAAAGTCAAACCTGCCACAGACCCCAGGTTTGGCAAGTAGAAAAACAGAAACCATAGCAGATATAATTTGACAATGCATGAAAACTGTCTCATACACAATACATTCAATACTTACTTTCAACTCTTAAAAACAACTCACAAATATTTACTTTGTAACTGGTGCTATCTGATCATTCAAATAAAAATCTAGAAAGGTAGATCAGTCAACTAGCTAATTTAGTCCTAATAACAGAAGCATGGGGTTCTCTGTAGATAGACCCTTTGAAATGCATAATAAAATATCTCAAATGACAGGAGAGAGAACCATCTCAGTATTAAAAAGGGACTCTGGTTAAATAACGTAAAATTAATATGCAAACCCATCAGCCATACTATCATATAATAAAATGCTTAAAATACAGTATTTCGAATCCAGTTTTACAATATGTACCACCGTGAAATAAGGTTCGGTAACATTATGCATTTCATTTCACTGGGCCAATAAAAAATACTCACAGTCTTCATCTAAGAATTTATACTGTATGTGTTTCTTGAAAAAGTCTTGTATGCATCTGCAAATCTCTTCCTTTTGTTTAGAAATATGATCATAATATTGTGTGTAGTCCCTTTGAGAAATACCTGACAAGAAAATATTTTATATTTCATTATTACACAATATTCTTTTCAAAAACACCAATATGTGATTTAAACCTCTTTTTGAGGAAACCACTAAAGTAGATTGAATGAATATGGCATCATACATTAGTCAACATTTTATATAGATATAAAGCTTATCAGTTGTAAAGGTTCAAATGGCTAGGTGAACCCTACAATTCCATATTGCCATGCATTCTTACTTTAGAAACAGTAGTTATTTTTATTTAGTACAATGGGAAGAATTCAAAGTCATAAAAATGTTTCTTATGTAAAAAATGAAAGAAGCAATTTTAAACCTACCCACATAGTCAACTGCTTCTTCTTTGATTTTTTCCAATGAACTGTCTAAAAATTGGCATTCTTTTCCACTTTCTTTGGGAAAATGTAAAATACCCCTCACCATACGTCTTCCATAATCATAATGCACTTCACGGTCTATTTTCCTTGTTCATATGTGCTATCCTGCCTTCTCAAGCCTGATGTTTCAAGCCATGGAAAAGTAAACATTCCTTTCTTCAGTGACTTGCTGACATTATTCCAAAAACACTAAAGGGAGTATTGTAAGAACTCCTTTAATCTGCTCTAGACCTAAGAAAAAGTTCTCTGCTCTGAAAGAAGGGCTTCCAACCAATTTCTTAATCACATGCCAATATGACTCCCTTCTTTAACTGCACGTAATACTGCAGTGTTTCTTTCAGAGAGATATAACAATATTATACAATAAATTCAAACAACCCCAGTGTATTTCAGGTAAGTTAAATGTCAACATCACATGCAATAAATAAATAGTGTTGATCTGATTCTGTTCAAATCACACTTTTCTTGGTTGAAAATCAATTCTACCTCATGGAAAATGTGCTTAGACAAAATAAGAGCAAATTATCTACAATATTTAGCTTGAATAAATCATAGCAGACAAAATAATAACCTCAGAGCAAAGAAAATGGGTGGCTTTTGAAGCAATGTACTTCTTTGTTTGCATATCTTCTCTTGCTAGAATAATAAACAGTGCTTCAATAATAGAAGTAAATGTTCAAAAACTGGGCTTCTTATGCTGCTTAAAATAAGCAGTGTATTGCTAGTAATACCTAGGAAAGCCCCAGAGAGAAAGCAGGGAGTATTACACATATCCTGAGAACAGTAAAGACCACCACTTTCATCTCTGGAATCCAGATTGACGTGATTCATCAACAAGACTATTTTCTGTGGAAACAGAATCTGGCCTCAGGACCCTTGTCAATACAGCATTCCAGAGAGTCGGTGCCAATTGGTTAGAGGTAGCATCTGAGATAAAAACTGATTGTTACCCTTGTCTTAATTACTAAGTAATTTATTTCCATCAAAAGCTTGTCTTCTTTTAACAATTACTTTCAAAGGTTTAAAAAAACAAAAAAACACAAAAACCTCACCAATAAGCTTATTTTCCTTGACAAAACATCGGAACTCAGCACCAGGAATTAATTCACACCATTTTCGAAGAACAAGCTGTAGACAATGGAAAAAAGGAACACAACTATGTAACAAGAGAATATTTACTAGTCTAATAAACAATTTTATGTTGAGACTATATCTTAACAATTGCCAGTATCAAGTGTTTTGTTTTTTTTAAAAAAAGAGGCATCATAAAACATTCCTGACATGATCTGCAGGGAACAGAGCTATGATCTATTAGTCTAACAAAACAGGGGAAATTGTATTAAAACTCTTCATGACAAAATGTGCCTTTGTCATTTATTTACCATTTTGGGAGTTCTGACATAACATACAACTCAAAGGATGATACAGTCACATCTTATCATCGTTGGGCCATAAGTTTCCCTATAATTCACATGTTCCTCACTCCTCTAAGAACATCAAAAAGTAAAATAATTTCCAAGTTATCTACCTTAAGCATCATTCTGTAATACCCTGATAAAATTATTGTGGCTTATCACAAAGACTCACTAAAACCCTTTCATGATTTTCCCATTATTTTAAAGTAATACAATTCTACCAATGGCCCAATTCATAAATGGGTCTTATTACTATAACTTATTATTTAATATGTGCAAATTCTCATATTGTAATTTATAAATAGTACAGTTGACAAATATATGCTTCTGAGTCTGGTTTTAAAATGTTCTTTGGAAAAACCTAGTCCTGTCCTTTTGAAGTATTAATTGTAATCAATGGCAAGAGCCCCCAGTCTCCCGAATCCTGGCATATACCTCTTTGCCCCTCAAGACCTAGGAGATAGGACTTGAATTACTCTAGGCCCCATTCCAGGAATCCCCCCAGTGGGCTCTGTACCCTCCCATGCCACCCAGTTTCTTGTACATAACATTCGAGAGTAAGCCCACACCCCACGTTGTACTAGGATAATCTGACACAAGTCTCTCTTCTAAGGGTGAGCAGCTGGGTCTTATTCATCTTTGCGTTCCCAGCACAGGTATGTAATGCCTAGCAGGTGCCTAGGAAATGTTTGTCAAGTGAAACATGGAATGGCAAATATTTAAGATAAGCAGCCACTAAAAAAAAATGATATAAAAAAATGTAATAAACTGTGAAAATGCTCATACTATGTCGTAAGTGAAAAAAAAGTGGCACATAAAGCATCTTATGGAGTGTGCATATGTGCACAGGTGTGCACACGCACACACACACACACAAATATCTCAAGAAAGAGAAGTTAAAGGTCAAAATGCTAATAATATTGAGGATATCTGGGTGGTAGGCTCCTCATATTTTCTTGTATTTTTAAATTTTTGATAGTAGGTTGCTTTCCTTAAAAAAAAAAAACTAGTGTTAAAATATGTCTTAGAAATTTGAAGTGTGCTGATTCCAATTTTCATTATTGTGAACTCTTGGTCAAGCTCTGTATGTGCCACCTTTTTAAAAAGAACCTAATTATTAAATGAAGAATCCCACACTAAAAAATTACACTGTTGTTACCTATTAAAAGTTGATACTGGCAAATATATTTTCTGACAGCTACAGTAATTTTTATGTAAGCAACAAATAAATACGCAATTATTGCAAACTGACATTAAGTTTTCTGAAAATTTGCTTATCTATTGAAATAACATTTTGGACAGGTAATACAAACACTGTACTTGATTTTTTAAAAAAGGTAAAAGGTGAGTCTTCCCCCCAAACAGTGTCTCTGTCCTCCTCCTCACAGGTAACCAGTGCTGACAATTTCTCATACATCTTTCCAGAAGTATTCTATGAATACATGAGCATAAAGTAGGTATCTTTTTAAATACACACAGACGCAAGCACATGATACCTAGGATTTTGCTTGCCACTTTTTTCATTTTAATTACTCTCACTTTCCTGGGCTTTTAAAACTGGGTTTTAAACCCTATGCACTAACATGATGATGGCATATTCCCCAAAAAGCAACAAAAGAGCAAACTGCCGGTGAAATCAATCTGGGGATAGATGATGACATTACAACAAAGATTATGCCGCAGGGCAAGACTAGGAAAACAATCTTTTTCGTTTTTGTGTTTCTAGCACAAAGTAATAAGATATAGCAGGTGCTTTGATAGATGTTTGTTCAGTGAAACAATAGATATGAATGTATTAAATACACACGACTAATGTTATAAAAAATGTTTAATGACCTGGGAAAATGCTAATATATTACATACCCCTCACAAATGGTATGTAAAGATCTCAATTACAAGTGCTAAAAGATGCAGGAATTGTTTGGTGGCTTGGTGAAGAGTCAATTACCTGTTCACAGAAGATATGCCACTATATACACTCAACACACTAAGAATTACTCGGTACAGTAAGTCAGTGGACAACTTTTGAAAGCATGTATATATACAAGTGACTGGAAGCAAATAGTTGACGAAGAAATTAAACTAACAACATCCAAGAACACTGCCCACTTCAGGTGTGTGTGTGTGTGCTGTGTATACCTTCAAACCAGGAAAACATGGGTTTGCTATTGGGGGATGGGGGAGGGAGTTGCTATGTTTCAACTCTTATTACTATTTCTAATAAAGTTTTCCACTGTCCTTTTGTTCTTACTTCTATATGTAATCTGTAAAATGAGAGAACCATAGAAAAAATAAATAAAAACGGTAAAATGGTGGTGACTACTTTTCCTTGTAAATCAGGTTAAAAAGCTTAAGCAGGTTAATAAGCTGGATGGTATGAAGGTGTTTGCTTCATTTCAAAATATGTATAATATTCCATAGTATGTACATACTGTGTAAATATTGTATGTGTATGTATATGTACATAATACATGCATCTTATGTATATATTTCATAAATTTAAAAATTCAATGGCTCTAGGTTCCCAGAGAAATTAGTCCAAATATTTGATTCATTTCACTTAAGAATAGAAATTCTCAATACATCTTCATCTAGAACTATCAATTTTATTCAAGATTTAAAAAAAAAAAGATTCTTACCTCATATTCCATACATGGATCTGGGGAATCATCAGTACAATGAATAAATCTTTGAGGGAAAGAAAGGCAATTGAATCTTTATTTTATGGTTGTCAGTTTACGCATACACATTACTTATATTTACTTATATTTAAAGTGGGAGTAAGGTTTTACTAAAAGCATCCAGAAACAGGAGACTAATTCAAATTCAATGAACGTTTATTAAGCACCATTCAGTGTCAGGCCTTAGCCTTGGCACCCTGAAATGTTATTTCATTTGTCCTCAAAACAACCACATGAGCTACTATAATCTCCATCTTTCTGTTAAAAAAAAAAAGGGCTAAAACTAAGGAAAGAGCACATTTAGTGACCAAGTCAGGAGTATAATGCAAACCCACTCTAGATTCCAAATGAGGGTGAGATGGCACTGTTGTTTTATAATTCTCACTGTGCTCTTCATGGCTGAACCAGAAGCCTAGTTCTCTGCTGACATTAACTCTGCCACCTAAAGCCACAAAAAGTTCATCTAATCTTTCTCCCACATCCCATTTAAAAATAGCTGACAGAAGAATTATTCATTCCTCCATTAAATATATTGCTTCCTCCTCTAAAAATCCTCAGTTTCACGGACAATTTTTCACATCCTTTATTAAACACCCACCTGTGCCAAGGGCTGGCGAGGCACTGGAACACCAAAATGACTTAAGAGTCCCTTGTCCTTTAGTCTGGTGAGGAAAGCCTAACAAGTACCCAAAGAATTTCAAAACACTGAAAATAAAAATACTGTGATGGCACAAAGGGAACACTGATTAGCTCTTCATGTTTGCGGGGAGGGGCTTCATTTGACATGAAGAGAAGGGTCTGCGTTTGAGGCAAAGGGAGAGAAGTGAGAACTACTCACAGGACTACTGGAGGTCAGTACTGATAGGTGTGGAGGGAAGAACTGCCAAAAGATGTGGCTGGAGAGAAATTCTGGACAAGAAGGACTATCCAGATCATGAGGGTCTTGTTTGCCTACGCAGAGAGGTTGTGATTTATTATACAGACAATGGGGGGCTAAAAACGTTTCTAAACATGTGGGGGAGATCATTGCACTTTGGCTTTAGAAATATCACAGGTGGCAACGGTGCTGGAGAGCCTGGGGGAATGGGTGGCAGGTTGGGAGGCTGAGAGCCCAGTTGGAAGGCTCATTGCAACAGCCCCAGGGAGAGATGAGGGGCCAACTAATGGGGAGGCAGAGAAGGAGAGGAGAAGCTCTATACAAAGATATTTAGGAGACCAAGTCAGGGCTACTTGGTGCCTGACTGAAAGCACAGGATGAGGGAGAAAGAGGCCAGATGACTGGGGGGGCTGCCTGATGACTCGCTGGATAATGATGCAAATACCATTCACTAAGAAGGAAGAGTAGGTGATGTGGGTGAGGAAAACATGGCAGATAACTACGTTTGGGTGGGTAGTGTTGGAGAAATCCTGGGAGAACCACAGAGAATGTCTAGTAAGCAGCTGGAACAAGGAAACTCAAGAGTGGGGGGAGGTGAAAATAATTATCTGGAAGTAATCGTCCTACGGGTAGAAGAGCTAAGGTCAAGGATGGAGACAGAAGTGACCAGTCAGCTCACTCAGATAGAAACCTAGGGAATACCAACAATTCAAGAAGCAAAACAGGTGGCCAAGAGACATTTTGATGAAAAAAATACACAAGCAAAACAAAAAATAGTTTTAAAGAGGTCTTAAGCGATTTACAAGTAGAATTAAATTTGAAAAGCTTTTATATTTCCCTGAATGTTTGATTAGGTTGGAATTCTCTGCAATCATTTATGATTTCTACTACAAACAATAACAACACAAATAAGGTGGTTGGCTAAAATCCTCAGAAAATAAGAACTTTTATTGCCAATGACAGCTGGGCACTCATGGATATAATCTGAATGACAAAGAAAGATACACACAGGGAGCTTTGTTAAAAGGCAGTGGACTTTCTCCATATTAGTGAACAGGCACCAAGTGAAGCATGTACATCTGCTATCTCATTTCATCCTTGCAATATTCCCATGAGAAAGTGCTATTATTATTATCCACATTCATCACACAAGGAAACCAAGGCTCCGAAAGGTGAGAAATGAAGTCAGTGGTGGGAGGGCACTAAACCACGTGTGGAACTGTTCCTCTCAGAGGTGGAGGTTCTAGAGCTGTTATTGCTCTCAGATTTCAGAGAAACCACAAATACCAAATGGATCCAGAGAAATACATATGTCCTGGATCATCTCCTTTAATAGCTCTACATAATATATTCTTCATTATTCTTTTTTTTTTCAATTTTTAAAATATTAATTAATCAATTTTTGACTGCGTTGGGTCTTCGTTGATGCACACGGGCTTTTCTCTAGTTGCGGCGAGCGGGGGCTACTCTTTGTTGCATTGCACGGCCTTCTCATTGCGGTGGCTTCTCTTGTTGTGGAGCATGGGCTCTAGGTGTGTAGGCTTCAGTAGCTGTGGCACGCGGGCTCAGTAGTTGTGGCTCGTGGGCTCTAGAGTGCAGGCTCAGTAGTTGTGGCGCACGGGCTTAGTTGCTCTGTGGCATGTGGGATCTTCCTGGACCAGGGCTCAAACCCGTGTCCCCTGCATTGGCAGGCGGATTCTTAACCACTGCGCCACCAGGGAAGTCCTGGTTTAACAGCCTAAATATTTTAATTAGCAAAAAACAGTAATTCATTTATGAATTCTATTATAAAAATTCATTTTATCCTTAAAACATTTTCCCTCAACTCCTTTCTAAATTCTAAATGAAAATATGAAAAGTGTGTCAAAAATCCAGACAGTGTTATAAGGAATAAAAAATTGTGTGGTAAAAGAATTTTTCACAAGTGAGAAAAGCATTCACAATACAATATACTTTTAAATAATAAAAAAGGTCACAAAACTACACAGTACAAGCTCATATTTTAAAACATACATGAGAAAACATAATACAATGTTAACTACTGGAATGTTAACAGTGATTCTTTGCCAGCAGTGATTGTTCATTTCTTCTGCTGCTTTTCTGTAGTATTTCTAACATTATGTTTATCATATTAAATATATATTACTTTAACTTTTAATTCTGAGGAATTAAAAAACACATAAAAGTACAAAGTGGGGACTTCCCTGGTGGCACAGTGGTTAAGATTCCACCTGCCAATGCAGGGGATACGGTTTTGAACCCTGGTCCAGGAAGATCCCACATGCCGCGGAGCAACTAAGCCCATGTGCCACAACTACTGAGCCTGCGCTCTAGTGCCCGCGAGCCACAACTACTGAAGCCCGCACGCCTAGAGCCCACTCTCCACAACAAGAGAAGCCACCCCAATGAGAAGCCCGCGCACCGCAACAAAGAGTAGCCCCCACTCGCCGCAACTAGAGAAAGCCCACATGCAGCAACAAAGACTCAACGCAGCCAAAAAAAAGACAAAGTGCACATATAGCACTTTTATAATAAGAAACCAAGTTTACTTTAAAAGTTAATATTTTACATTTTGCAGTGTATACAAAATATCAAATTATGTTGTATACCTGAAACTAATATATACTGTTAGGCCAATCATACAATTTTTTAAAAAGTTAGAACTTCCCTGGTGGCGGAGTGATTAAGAATCCACCTGCCAAGGCAGGGGACACAGGTTCAAGCCCTGGTCCGGGAAGATCCTACATGCCGTGGAGCAACTAAGCCCATGCGCCACAACTACTGAGCCTGCGCTCTAGAGCCCGCGAGCCACAACTACTGAAGCCCACGCACCTAGAGCCTGTGCTATGCAACAAGAGAAGCCACCACAATGAGGAGCCCGCGCACCGCAAAGAAGAGTAGCCCCCGCTCCCCACAACGAGAGAAAGCCTGCAACAAAGACCCAACGCAGCCAAAAATAAATTTAAAAACAAGTTAATATTTTAGTTTTCAATTAACCAGTAATTCTTATCATGATAAAACTGAACTGCCTATCTTTTTTTTAATTTAAACGTATCTAAAATATACAAGGGAGGGCTTCCCTGGTGGTGCAGTGGTTAAGAATCTGCCTGCCAATGTAGGGGACTCGGGTTCGAGCTCTGGTCCGGGAAGATCCCACATGCCGCGGAGCAACTAAGTCCGTGTGCCACAACTACTGAGCTACTGAGCCTGTGCTCTAGAGCCTGCACGCCAAAACTGAGCCCCTGTGCCACAACTACTGAAGCCCCTGTGCCACAACTACTGAAGCCCACACACCTAGATCCCATGCTCCTCAAGAAGAGAAGCCACCGCAATGAGAAGCCTGCACAGTGTAACAAAGAGTAGCCCCAGCTCACCACAACCAGAGAAAAGCGTGTGCCCAGCAACAAAGACCCAACGCAGCCAAAAATAAAATCAATTAAATTAAAAAAAAAAAATATATATATATATATACAAGGGAGATGGGAGGAGAGAAATGACAAAGGAATTCGAATAAACAAACACTTCCAAAACACAGGTCTTCATTATCTAAATTTTTAAATGCTTCTATATTCCTACAAATACTGATCTCAACCCTTGGTTAATCCTCATTTGCTACTTTAAAATAGGTATACATTTTAATACACATTTGCATTCTACCATCCCATAACATTATTTTTTAAGTGGTGATAGGTTTAACATTTAATGTTAGTTAAAAACCTTGACTAGTTTCAGAAGGTAGATGTGAGAACATATGTGCTACATGAGATTACTGTACAAGGCTTTTTCTTATTAAGATGATTAATCAGATGGCCAAGTACAGTCTCTGAAAGGAGAAGAAAGTGCAGAGCCATCTAATTAAGACTGAATGTGAAGGTCAACAACATTTTTAGGAGCACAGCTGAAATACCGCAAAAAACACTGTGTATGAATATTTAAATTCCATTTATATTCTGGAGGAAGTAGATTTAAAAAGCAAAAATGTGTTAAGATATTCACAGTATTAACAACACTTGAATGCTTACAAATCCTTATATAAATTACGGTTCAAAAATTCCAGGTTACATCAAGAAAGGAAAAAGAAAGAAATCCTTAAATCAAGGCTTCTTACTACATTGAAAATACTAGTAGAA